ATGTCTCGACTAATTCGTTTGTTTTGCCAGGATTTCCTGGAATTTTGGCAGGATGTCTCGAGCGAAATGCATAATTTGTTGAAGACGTTTCGAGCGAAACGCTGGTTTTGTGAAATTGGGGGATGTCTCGAGCGGGGGCCTCGTGGGGGGCCTCGTGGGGGGCCTCGTGGGGGTCCAGAATTCAGAGGATCTCTCAGGCGAAATGCTTGTTTTCACGTCCCGCTCGCAAGAATTCCGAGGATGTCTCGCGCGTGCCGCGTCCCGCGCGCAGGAATTCTGAGGATATTGGCAGGATGTCTCGAGCGAAACGCTTGTCCCCAGCACGTTCCGTAGCGCGTCCCCTTGGCAAGTCCCGCGGTGCATCCCCATGGCACGTCCCTTGGCACGTCGCTTGGCGGGTCCCTTGAGACGTTCCGCGTCGCGTCCTCCTGGCATGTCCCCTTTGTCAATTAGCTATGTGTTCAGGCAGCTCGAGCTTAAGATCCAGATCAGTTCGGTCAGGACTCGGATGAAAAGGAGGACTCGATCCACGAGGGTATAGAGCACAATCGCGGCATGGCGCATCGCAATTCAGCACGGCGCAGCACAGCACATATTTCGGCACGGTACATCAAGATCGATACACTCAGCATTGCAACTTGGCACGTTCCTTGGCACGTTCCGTGGCGCGTCCCTTGGCGAGTCTCCCTGGCACGTCGCGTGGCGCGTCCCCTGGCACATCCCGTGGCACATCCATTGGTACGTTCCGTAGCGCGTCCCCTTGGCACGTCCCGCGGTGCGACCCCATGGCATGTCCCCTGGCACGTCGCCTGGCGCATCCCTTGAGACGTTTCGCGGCGCGTCCTCCTGACATGCTCTCCTGTCCATCAGCTCTGGGGCAGCTACTATGTGTTCAGGCAGCTCGAGCTTAAGATCCAGATCAGTTCCGTCAGGACTCGGATGCAAAGGAGGACTCGATCCATGACGCTATAGAGCACATTCGCGGCATGGCACATCGCAATTCAGCACGGTGCAGCACAGCACAGCCCTCGGCACGGTACATCAAGATCGATACACTCAGCATTGCATTTACCCGTCATCCAATCAGGTGTCTTTGAAAACGCTGCCATGTGTTACAGTTCTATATTCCTTTCCGGGTTCGTGGGTCGATCATGTTGGTTTGTGACGGATTTTGGCTTCTTGGGGGGGTCCTGATGGGGGCTCCGAGAACTTGTGGCCGTCTTGGAGCGGTCTTGGGGGCCTCTTGGAGCATGTTGGAAGTAATATTTGGCATCTTCGGCTGTCTTGGGCCATCTTGGAGGTCATCTTGGAGCATCATAGGCCTTGTTGAGGCCACCTGAAGCCAGCTTGGACGCTCTAACCCCTCGGGCCCCCTCCCAAACAACCTCAGGGAGGGGATGGGGGAGGGTACCCTTCCCCGAAGGGGTGAGGGTCTTGGAAGAGGACAGAAAGACATCGTTAGACCACCTACGCCCAGAGGGCCGGTGGAATTAAAGCGTCAGAATCATACATGGACAAGAAGGCTCAAGCGAAACGCCTGGCCCGCCCTACAAACACGTTTCGGGGTGCGACAGGGAGAAGTTATTTATCAGGAACATGATGGAGGAGGAGGAGGAGGAAGAGGAGGAAGATGAGTAGGAGGAGGAGGAAGATGAGGAGGAGGAGGATGCGGATGAGGATGATGATGATGATGATGATGATGATGATGATGATGAGGAGGAGGAGGAGGAGGAGGAGGAGGAGGAGGAGGCTAGGAGGATGAGGTGGAGGAGGAGGAGGAGGAAGAGGAGGAAGATGAGGAGGAGGAGGAGGAGAGGAGTATGCGGAGGATGATGATGATGATGATGATGATGTGATGATGATGATGATGATGAGATGAGATGATGAGGATGATGATAATGATGATGATGATGATGATGATTATGAGATGATGATGATGGATGATGATGTATGAGGATGATGAGGATGATGATGATGCTGATTGATGCTGATGATGATGATGATGCTGATGATGGATGATGATGATGATGATGATGATGATGATTGATATGATGCTGATGATGATGATGATGATTGGATTCTGATGATGATGAGGAGGATGAGAGGAGAAGGAGGAGGGAGGAGGAGGAGGAGGAGGAGGAGGAGCGAAGGAGGAGGAGGAGGAGGGAGGAGGAGGAGGAGGAGGAGGAGGAGGAGGCGAAGGAAGGGAGCAATGGCGGCAGCAGGAGCCTCAACTCGTTGACCCGTGGCGCCCTCTCCCAGGGCCTGCGCCGCGACCACTCCGAGGCGCAGGGGCCCCAGGCGGCGCGGGCCTCGTCGGCTCGACCGCCGCAGCCGACGCTGCGCCGTCGTTGATGCTGTCGCCGTCGAGGCCGCCGCCGTCGCGGGGTCTCGCTTCTGCCCCCCAGCCCAGTGTCGGGGGCGGGGCCGGAAAAGAGGGGGTGATGATTTGATGTGGGGGGATACCATGGTCGGGGATATCAGCTCCCCCTCTTGGCGCCTCTTCTTGATTCATGGTGCCTCTTCTGGATTTCGTGGCGCTTCTTCTTGTTTAATTACGTCCCTGGCCCCCCCCCTCTTGGACACCCCCCTCTTGGCCGCTCCCGACAGTGCCGGAAGCGGTGTAATTTCCTCTGATGGGGGGGGAGCGGTTCACCGATTGCGTCCGATGTCGGCCACGCGCAGAGGGGTGGTTATAGGGGAGGGAGGGGGGAGGGCTGCTGAGAAGCCTTCCCCCCTCCCCCTACCCCCTTGTGCGCGCCGTCAGTTCCTAGGGTTACACGCCCTCTTGGCTTCGGCCTGGGGCCGAGATCCTCGACGGTATGATTTTTGTCCACTGGCGTTTTTCCGTCGGTTATCGGGCCTCTGGGGCCCGCCAGCCGGGCACAGGCTCCATCAAAAATGGACCGGGGAGGAAAACCTGCGCTTTTGTAAGCGGTCGGGGCCTTGGTGGCCGCATGTTGAAAACCACGTGGGCGGATGTCAGGGAGGGCGGGTATCTAGTCATCCGACGTTTTTTTGTTTTCGCCCCAAACCATCCTGTGGTGTCCCCTCGTTTTGAAGAGACAGCGCCCCGCGTTCCCTCCTTCCCGCTTCCCCCTCCCTCCTCCCATTCCTGCTTCTGCTCGCCGCATGTCCACCACGTCGGCAGACCCCTCACGAGGATCGTGGCCCCATAGGGAGCTCCACCAAAGGCCCCAGCGGCAGGGTTTGCATGCGTCCCCGCTGATTTCGGCACACCCCTCACGAGGATCGCGGCCCCATGGGGAGCTCCACCAAAGGCCCCAGCGGCAGGGTTTGCATGCGTCCCCCCGCCCATTTCGGCACACTCCTCTTGAGGATTGTGGCCCCATAGGGAGCTCCACCAAAGGCCCCAGCGGCAGGGTTTGTATGCGTGCCCCCGCCCATGTCGGCACACCCCTCCCGAGGATCGTGGCCCCGCAGGGAGCTCCACCGAAGGCCCCAGCGGCAGGGTTTGCATGCGTCCCCCAGCCAATTTCGGCACACCCCTCACGAGGATCGTGGCCCCGCACGGAGCTCCACCAAAGGCCCCAGCGGCAGGGTTTGCATGTGTCCCCCCGCCCATGTCGGCACACCCCTCACGAGGATCGTGGCCCCAGAGGGAGCTCCACCAAAGGCCCCAGCGGCAGGGTTTGCATGCGGCCCTCCGCTGATTTCGGGACACCCCTCACGAGGATCGTGGCCCCATAGGGAGCTCCACCGAGGGCCCCAGCGGCAGGGTCTGCATGCGTCCCCCCGCCCATTTCGATACACCCCTCACGAGGATCGCGGCCCCATGGGGAGCTCCACCGAAGGACCCAGCGGCAGGGTTTGCATGCGCACCCCCGCCCATTTCGGCACGCCCCTCACCAGGATCGTGGCCTTCTAGGGGGTTCCCCCACAACGCGGTATTCACATCTGCATATGGTTGGGTCTTTCGCCAGGATAATTCCATAAAGGGGCCCCTGGAAGTGCCGACCCCTTCCCCAGGGTCGCTTTTTTATCTCGCTTGTTTTTGACGGTCCCAGGGCCTGGCGAGGGTCTCGGAGGCCAAAACGGCCAAACACCTTCCGTGGATTTTTTCCCAACCATCCTGTGGTGCTGGGTCCTCGTTCTGAAGTGACAGCGCCCCGCGTCTCCTTCCTCCTCCTCCCCCTCCTTGCCTCTGCCCTCCGCATGTCTCTGTTTCGGCACACCCAGTACAGCGTTCCGTGGCCCCATAGGGAGCTCCACCGAAGGTCCCAGTGGCGGAACTCGCATGCGTCCCCCCTACCCAGTACAGCCTTTCGTGGCCCCATAGGGAGCTCCACCGACGGTCCCAGTGGCGGAACTCGCATGCGTCTTTTCACCCCAGTGCAGTCGTGGGCCCATATGGAGCTTCACCGAAGGTCCCAGTTGGAGAACTCGCCTGCGTCCCCCCCGCCCAGTAAAGCGTTTCGTGGGCCCACAGGGAGCTCCGCCGAAGCTCCCCGCGGCGGAACTCGCCTGCGTCTCCCCGCCCCAGTACGGCGTTTCGTGGCCTCGTGGGGAGCTCCACCGAAGGTACCAGTGGCGGAGCGTGGCCCCGGAAAGTCCCAGTGGCGGAGCCCGCATGCCCCCCCCCCCCCCTCTCCAAGTACAGCATTTCGTGGCCCCATAGGGAGCTCCATCGCAGGTCCCAGAGGCGCAGTCCCCCCAGCCAGTACAGCGTTTCGTGGCCCCATAGGGAGCTCCACCGTAGGTCCCAGCGCCGGGGCCCGCATGCCACGCTTCGTGACCACATGGGGGGCTCGACCTAAGGCCCCAGTGACAGCGCCCGCCCCGCCGCATGACAGCCAACTCCGTACGTTTCATGGCCTCATGGGAGGTTCTACCTAACGCCCCAGTTGCAGCGCCCGCATGGCGGCCCCGCCCCATTTCGGCGCACCCTTCACACGCTCAGTGGCCCCACAAGGAGATCCCTCGAAGGTGATACTCACACAGTGACGGGACTCACACCTGCACATGGTTGCGGTTTTCGCCCGGATATTTTTTTCCCCGACGCGAGCATGTCTGGGTGCGCTCTGCCAGGGCCCAGGATGTCGCAGGCCTAGAGGTTGACACCAACACCAAGATCGGCGGTGTGCCTCCACCGAGGGAAGACGATCCCGATCTCGGTGATGGTGGTAATATTCCGGCTTCTAAGGTGACCGAAACATTACCACCAATACCGAAATCTAGGACCATCTTCCCCATGTGCAGGCCACCCCCTGTGCTGGTGTTGGTGCCCATTTCCAGGCCTCCAAGGATGGCTCTGGCCATGCCTGCACGGTGGTGGTGTCCGGCCTGGCCAGCCCCGGTGCCTCGCCCTCGCGGGCTGCGCCGCCGTCGTCTTTGCCGTCGTCGCCACTGCCGTCGGTCGCCGCTGTGGCCGTCGCCGCACGACGTCGCCCAGGCGGACATCGCCGCGGAGAAGACCGCGGAGGCGCGGCTCCTTCAGGGAGGAGGCAGGAGAGGGAGGCAGGCGGAGGAGGAGGAGGAGGGGGAGATGGAGGCAGGACCGGAATGATGATGATGATGATGATGATGATGATGATGATGATGATGATGATGATGATGATGATGATGATGATGATGATGATGATGATGATGATGATGATGATGACGATGCTGCTGATGATGAGATGATGAGGATGATGAGGATGATGATGCTGATGATGCTGATGATGATGATGCTGACGATGATGAGGATGCTGAGGATGATGATGAGGATGCTGATGATGCTGATGATGAGGATGATGAGGATGATGATGCGGACGATAATGCTGATGATGATGCTGATGATGCTGATGCTGATGGTGATGCTGATGATGATGCTGGTGATGGTGATGATGATGCTGGTGATGGTGATGATGATGATGATGATGATGATGATGATGATGATGATGATGATGATGATGATGATGATGATGATGATGATGATGATGATGATGATGATGATGATGATGATGATGATGATGATGATGATGATGATGATGATGATGATGGATGATGAGATGATGGAGGAGGAGGAGGGAGGAGGAGAAGGAGGAGGAGGATCAAGGAAACGCAAGCATGGATCAGTTCGCGTGGAGTAGCCGCAGGTTCCGTTTCCATGCTAAATCGGCGCGCTCCGTTGCCAAATCAGGCGGCATTGGCGCCATGTTTCGCGGGCTACGCTCCCCGGTCCGTGGATTTAGCGCCCACGTGCCAGATCCACGGTAGCCTGCGCCGGAGAGGAGCAGGACGAGGAAGGGGGGAAGAGCTCCTCCACCTCCGAGGCGAGCTCCTCCTCCTCCTCCTCCTCCTCCCTCCTCCTCCTCTCCCTCCTACTCGAACGGTAGGTCATTGCATTGTACTGTTTTTCGTTCTTGTAATATTTTCCTTTCTCCGCTGCCATTCGTTGTTCGGGGGCAAGCAATCCGGCTGGACTGCTCATAGCAAAAGAACATGTACATTCTGATCTTTGAATTCTATTTGGTAGCGGAGCAGCCCGCTCCGCGACTTTTCGCCGCCAGCCACAGACCGCGAGGCTTCCCCGCGTGCTCGCGGCGACTCTCCCCTCATCGTGCTCATGCTGGCCATCCACTTCGCTCCGGCAGGCGCCGTGCCTAGAGTGGCCGGCGGGGCCAGTCAGGCCCAGCCGCCATCAGCGGCGCAGGAGACCTAGCACATCTACGGGTCCAGAGACATGTGCCAGAAGAAGAAAGCCCCCCGCGCCTTCCCCCCCAGGCATTTTCGAAATGTGTTCGAGATGCTCGGGGGCCCTTCGTCGTCACGGCATTCGCTTGTGAGTGCCGCCGTCGGATCAGACCGTCGAGCGATCCGACTTCTAGATTCACGGTGTCGGCACAGGGCCCCGAGCTACGCGCAATTGTGTTGCGGAAACTCGAGGAGGAAGATGACGATGACGCACCGCCCACATTGCATCTGAATTTGGGTGTAGCCGACTATGTCAGGCAGTGTTTAGATCCGGCGCTCACACCGTCGGTGTCGGCAGACCGTCCCGAGCCAGCCGCAATTATGTTGTGGAAGCTGGGGGTGGCGCGTGCAGGCGACAGCGGGGATGCAAAGGAAGGTCGGGCAGCTGTGTGGCCATCATTCTGGGGGGCCTTTACAGCAACTTGGGACTATTCGCTATCGGTTCTCCGGGACAATATCTTCGACGTTACTTGCGCGTCCCTGCTTGTGGGCAGACCTGGATCCCTATGCGCACTCTCCTCGGCTATCGTGCAGTCGGCAGTGCGAAGTGCAGTGACAATGCAGCGTGCGACGAGTTCTTCCGCCACTGCGTGGCGGAGTGCTCCGAGTGCAGCCAGTGCGCCAATCGCGCGACAGAAGAGAAGGCCCTATACGCAGATGAGGAGGAGCAAATCAGGGACATATATCCACGACGGCTTCGAGGATCATTGCCACACCGCGGCCGTCGGTGGGTGCCAGGGTTGCCGCGCCTCCTGGATGCCTGGAGGGGGTGCCACTCTGGATGGAAGGCCGTCGGAGCGGGCGTGGTCGCTGCCGTCAGCTGCGTCGCCTGCGTGGACGCGGGCGGTGGGGGTAGAGGCAGTTTGCGACGCCTCCGCACCTGGGGGACCGAGCAGCAAGCTCGCGTGCCTTTCCAAAGATGGGTGCGGGAAGTGATGATCTGGTCAGTGGCGAACTCCGGCCTCAACGAGTTTCGCCAAGCGGCCCGCGTCTCGTCTGGCTTGACCAGCATGGCTCGCGAGTGCGTGGGCGAGTGGCCGCCGGCTGTCCTTGTTCAAGGTGGTGGTATCAATGGCAGCCCAGTGTCGCCTGCGACCTACCTCATGCACGGCCTGGCGGAACGGCGGGGCCAGGTTGGAAAAGAAAAGCGCGCAGGCAGTATCGGCTCTGATGAATTTCAACGGATTGCCGCAGGGGCGCATTGACAATCCCTCGCCAGGTTTGACATCCTCCGCGACAGGGCGCAGCAGGCCGTGGCCGGTCAACTCATGATCTGCCGCGAGGGCCTGGGCCACCTCTTGCTGCGCGCGGTGGGTGCGTCGAACATCCAGCTCGCCATGGCCCTGCAGCGCTGCGACGTGGCTTGCCCTGCGGACGCGCCACAGCTGGCGCGCGCGATGGGCCAGTGGCGCCGATTTGGACATGTGATCGAAGGCTCGCCAGGCAATCTCGCCTCGGCCGTGCGCTCGCCCCAGCGCCGAGCGTTTCTCGCGGGCGCGCCCATGCGCAATCGGGTTCAGAGTGCTTATGGCGCTGTGCCGGATCGAGCTTGGGTGGCATGGGCTCTTCAGCCCTAAGCAGCGCCGAGTCCGCATCCTGTGCCGTCGGCCGCCAGCGCCGACGCGGCGGAAGCACCGTGGGCGGCAAGTCCAACGGCGGGCTTCGACTCAGGCGCCGACTCCGACGCCATCGGCTCTTTCGGCGAGGAAATCGCTGCCGACGACCCCGAGCTGCGCGGGGTTCCCGTGCAACAGCGCGGCGCGCGCCTCTTTTGGGCGCGCGGGCGCGCCAAGTCCCGGCGGGCCGCTGCAATGGCGACGGGCCCGCGCCCCGTGCGCGGAGGGTCATCGAACGCAAGGGCAAGGGCCTCTGAGAAGGCCGCCGCGCCTTCCCGGACAATCTAGTCCGGGGGCATGGGGAAGGGCGGGCGTCGGAGCGGTGGTCTGGGATTTCGCCGACAGGGCAACCCGCTGGGCTCTGACGGGGCGGGTCTCAAGTGCCGCGAGTGCGACTCAGAGGAGCGCCTTGTGCGCGACTGTCCCCGTCGGCGCCGGCAAGGGCGGGCCCTCGTCCTCGACGTCCCAGCCCCAGCAGCGCCGGCGCCGCCTGCGCCGGCATCATCGCCACTCATGCACCTGGGGCATCGCGGAGCACCAGAGCCAGCCGCTCCACGTGCAGCGCCAGGTGCCTGGTCGGTCTGGATGACCAGGCCGCCCGCGGGATGCCCGAACCCATGTCTCTGGGGCCCGATGCTGGTGGCCCCTTGCAGAGCGCCGATCCCTGGAACGGTGGCCGGCCGACTGCAGCTTCGGCAACTTCGCGGCCAGCGCCAGCAGCAGCTGCTCCAAGTGCTTCGCCCGACGGCTCCTGGCAGGCAGTTGGCCAGAGCTGCTGGTCACGTTGGGTGGCATTTCGTCGTCTGCATCGGCTTCGCTTAAGCCTCATTCGTGGTTCGCGCGCGACAGGTCTCTGCTCAGCCGACGGATGGGCGTGTCCATCCTCACGGCGGGGCCGGGGTGCGCAGCAAATGTAGCGCCCGTGGCTCCAGCAGCGCCCCCAGCGCTGACGCCGCAACGCTGGGCCGGAGTGGCCGGCGCCTTTACACTGGGGCCGCAAAACGGGCGCGACTGGGCAAGCAACGTCGACGCCCGAGTCGCAGTGCCAGTTTCCCCGCCTGCCGATGTGCAGTGGCCGAGCTGGGCCTGCGTGCCATCGGTCTCAGCATTAGGCGTCAGCGCGCCATGTGGATCGGGTTTCACGTGGCCGCCGCAGTTCGCGCTGGTAACCGTGTCGCCACCAATGCCGGGGCCCCCTGGCGATCTGGCTCTCTTCAACCAGCGCGCCCCGAATGACATGGGCCAGCCATCTGGGAGAGTGGCCATGTGGTTCGCCGGCCGCGACGCTTGGATGTCCAGCGGCGTGCGATCCGAGCGCGAAGTAGGCCCCGCGCCCGACCGCGCCCAGCGATGACACCTCGACGAGTTCCACGGCGCCCAGCTTGCGACGGCGGGGCGAGCAGCGACGACCAGCCGCGCAGAGTTTGATAGAGACCTCTTCTAATCCACCTCCTGTGCCAGCTGCCGCGCCAGCTGCAATCCGTGTCGCGGTTAACCACGATCAGGAAAGCCCGATTTATCTCGAGGCCATCGTGCATTGTCATCGAGCTGTGTGCCTGCGTTGCCGCCGCATCTTGCGCCGGGCATGCAGCCTGCAGCTCGTGCAGGGCGCCGGCGCCCATTTGGTGTGCTGCCTGGCGTTCTGCGGCGCGGTCGAAGTCGTTGCCGACTTCCATTTAATTGGTGTAGATCGTGCTACAGCGGGTCCAGCAAAGTTGTTGTCGGCTGGTGCGTCAGACCATGGTGCCGTGGGTCCGGCGCCTGCGGCGCCAGCCCGGCCAGCGCCGGGCGACGGCGTGCCCGTGGAGACACCGCCGCAGCAGGGCACCATCCAAACTTCTCGGCCCGCGCCGGCGCCTGGGACACCGCGGCAGGATCCTGGCAGTGCCCGCTAGCGCCCACTTGGACCTGCGTACTCCGCCGTGCCGACCGACGCTCCCGCGGCGGCCAACTTCGTCGCGCACAGGCCCAAGTCCACCGACTGACTCGGCATGCTACTTCCAGCTTGGCGTTGTTGTGGATGCCGGCGCCTGGGCCGACGTCTGGGGGCAACGTTTTGGGATGAATTTTGTCGATAGAGCATGGGGGCGAGGTTCCAGCCCGCGGAGGAGAGGCTGGCGCCCCCGCT